TAGAGGTTTTCATTATTTTCTATAACATAGTCTTTGGCTGATTGAAGACCTTTTTTTAAATACCACGTCAGCCTTGTTGTTGAACTTGTATGTGATGATGGACTTGACAATACACTAGTCACAGGACGCTTAGTCACCTTTGGAGGTGGTAGTTTTCTTTTCAAGCCACTGCCACTGGGTACTGCTTTAATTTGCTGTGGAGGTGTCTGAATTGCTGCCTCGTGTGTCTCTCGTCTGTTGTCATTGTTGCTCGCTACTGCTGATGTGAAGTAGTCGTTCAACGCCAAACACATTTGCTGGTGACGGCTCCTTGCGGATGCACTAAGGAAGTAGGCTTCTCGACAGATGGCACATTGTAGATACATCTAAAACATTAATTTCAAACATTAAGTACATTGCTCATGGTCTGCTATAGTTCTATTATATTTGGTTTGAGATTGTTTACGTTAAGTTTTAGAAAAAATACATTAATTTTTAGCACTTACCTATTTTATTATTTTAATTTAAGTTTTATTGCCTATGTTATCATGTTCAGCATGAGATTTCACAATTCAGATTCTTTAAGCTCATATTACACGCATTTTGTCTTTAGTTGTGTGGATTTCTTGCAACAATGAATGTTGCTTATATAGCTGCATGGTTTAGTGTAGTTTTTGCTAGGACAATATGAGGTATTAAGGGGCTCTTTACATTCGACTATATTAAGTTGTAAGCTCTCAAATAATAGTTTACTAAACGTAGTACCAAGAAGATATAAAACTGACAGGGCTTTCTACTTACATTGTTGTAGAAGTTTTCACAGCTAGACTGCTCATTGAAGGTTTAACATCTAAGCGGAACTTTGCAAGACGGCACGTGGGGAATGACTGCTCACTTCTAGCGCTGTAAATGTAAAAATAAAGTGTCAGTTGTCATATATAGTAGTTTCGTCAATACCAAAAATAAAGCATACTCCTTCCTAAGTAGATTTTTCATCATTATATAACAACTGAAGCTAGTTTTTTGTTAGTTCTATCCACTGCATAGATCGTCAAATCAAAATCAAAATATCTTTATTCACCATCCATACTTGATTAGTGTCAATATGTTATATTTAAAACGTTTGTGATATAAGCTTAAAATATAATCACACAAAATTTATATTAACAATATCGAAATACCGAACAAAACTTAAGTTACAAAGTTTAGTTTTAAGCATTCGTGTTTTTCTTTACAATTTTTTTTCTTGCCAATTTAATAATTTTAAACTTTGTTAATGCGAATAAAGTGATTTTTTCATAGCCAATAATGCATTCACTAGTTATCTAGCCTAACAATAATGCGGAAATCATAGAATTACACATCACATGGTAGAGAGATGGTTGTGTCTGCACTAGCAAACAGAGACAGCACTCAAGAGTTAGACACAAAGAACGAGCTTTAAAGTTGCTTAATCTATGCATATACTAAGCTACAGCTCTAAAGACAAAATCTACACTCATTTCTAAGCATGATTTATTTATTTATTTTTCTTATTTTGCTAGCTTAACTTATGACAAAAAAAATGCGTATATGCAAGTTTTTCTAAAATAATCCTACATGCTTGCTAAGTTCATAATACCTAATGATTTTTCTTTCTGATAGATATTAATTCGTTTTTTTTTTTTTAGTACGTTTTCTTTCAAAACATTGTAGTATAGAAGTGTTCTTAATTTTTTCTATAGGGTATATAGGTTAAAAATCATTTATTAAGTAATAAAGACTAAATAGTGAACATATATATTTTAATAGATATATAGTTAAAAGAAATATTTATTGACTTTTATTTATGTACCTACATCCCTAGTCACTAGGGTACTTTATATTTAATAGCTAGTTATTTGAACAAGGAAGAACCCTTAACCCTTGGCTAGCGTCATGATTTGTCCAGTAAGAACAATATTAAATGCAAACACACACTAGCGGATTATTTATTTCTTTTTACACAAACTAGTTCTTGGTGACATTTGAAATAGAATGTTTGTATTGATTTGAGAGAAGAATATTTCAAATTGTATATAGTATTGATTAAGTGTATATTCAACATATAATCATGCGATAGCCAGAGATTGTATAATTAATCTATATTAATCGTATTATTAGAAGTTTATTTAGTCATATTTATTTATTGAATATATAATTGGTTTTTAAAGATCAACGTATTTCTAATCAAACAGATTTTTAGACATCTTTTAATATTCTAGCTACATACTTCACTTCAGATTTCTAATTTAACGAGCATTACCACGTTTTACAACACTCAGATTTGACATTAAATAATTGTAAATAATTTTGTAAGTTTTGAGTCTAGCTATTTAACGTTGCTCTTATGGTAAGGAGAGCAAGGAGTTATAGGAAAAGCTTAAATCTAATGGTCTTTTTAAAATCCTAGCAACTATATTGCAAACTACGCTATGTTTGTACTTACAACTATGGAGAAGATGTTCTGGCATCACACAAGCGTAGACGACTTCGACTGATGCACGTACTGGCCCAGACGCACAAACTGGCCGAGGTGCACGAGTTACTCACAATGCAAGCTGGAGTCGAATACAACTTTGCAGTGCCAATGGGCTGCTTTTATACAGTTTGTGTGAGGTCAGTGATTGTGCGGAGCCAGGATTGCTTATAAGCGGCATAAGCGTACATGGCTGCACAGTTCTCTGCACGCAACCGAACAGGTATGTCTCGTGTGCTTATGCATTAACTGTGAGAATAATCTTACTTATATGATCTTTTAGTTTGTATATGCTTATTTAGCTTACACTTTTCTACTACTACTATAGCTCCATAATTGTATTTTCTAAGAGTGCTAGTTATATATTCTTATTTGTTGCTGTGCTGATATTTGTTTTGCGTTAATGCATAATGATGCATTACTCTCATACCCTCCACTTACTCAAGGTTTCCCCCCTTTGTCTGTCCCAATATGTGTTTTTCTCTACACTGCTGCGTTTGCTATACTGTCTTGGTACTGCCTACATGTTATACTGACTAATATTTCTACTACTTGTTATATGAAACGGTATTCCTGACACATGATACAAGATAACATTGATTACAATATATCCATATGTTGTAGTGTAACAGTTTTGCTACACATTTAGCTATTTAGAGCTATTTGTAATATGTATATAGTTGCGCTACGATAGACTGCTATGTGTATGGTATTACGCTCTACTAATCGATATATGCAGCGATATACTTGTTACAATCTGCAAACCTTACTTGTTATATTTGTATATTCTAAGTGCAACGGTTTTTCTATGCATTTAGCTGTTATTACTAAGCTGTTAAACGTTTTATATGTATCTAGTTGCCCTCCGTTGCGCTAATATTTCTATGATATTACACCTTGCGTTATATGCTGTGACATACTTGTTTCACGCAGCAATCTTCAATTGTACTATTTATGCTGTAGTGCTCCAGTTGTTTATGCATTGTCTATTAATGCTAAGCTAGTTAACTCGATAAATTTTCATTATATCAGTACTCGGTCTATAATATGGCATACTATTAGTACGACTTTTAAAACAGGATATTTTTTTTATAGATCATAATCATGGCCCTAGCAGCAAAACTCAACACCCTGGAGAAAGGACCATACCTCCCTAAGATCGACGTTTCGGCGCTTACTAACAAAGAGGGCTACTCCATTGTGGCAGGGAGGGCAGTAAACACCAAATACGGAGCGTCCATCGTCCTAGACATCCATGTGCCGGAAAAGAGTGCCGACTTCTGTATATTCTTACCGAAGCGGTTCAGCGAGGCGTTGAGTTCAGATGAACTAAAGGAGATCGCTGAGAGCAAGGCATATCGGGTTCAATACTTGGGGATGAGCGGGAACTCTCCGAATATAAAAATTTGGAAACAATAAATGTTTGATATTTGCTCACTGAATACGTATTTAGTTTATTCAGTCCTTTTTTAGTCTTAAGTACTGTATGTAGATGTAGACATGTGTATTTTACGCAAGCGTTACTTAACTTAGTGTCAGCTCTCTAGGTCAGACAGGTTGCGCTGAGTTGCATTCATGACCTAGTGCGCCGAATTGAAAGTGAATTCACTTTCTACTGCAATCACTTGTACAGCCAGCCATGACATTCACCTCGCACTTATACTCGCAACAGCGGGCTGGTAATTACAGCTCTGCTGTAACCTCTACTTGTCTGCTAACCAATACTTACATACTTCTTATATATACAGTGCTTAGTGCCTACAGTCTACACAAACTAACATACAGTTTTAACCTGCACAAGCCGTCGTCGCTCGCTCGAGGACAAATCGTCCCCTGCCCACACTCGTATACTCATTCCCAACATCGCTGTCACTTTTATTCGCCGGAGAAAAAATCAGGCAACCCTATCTACTGGTACGCAATCATGTTTAGTAACAAAAAGACACTTTGGCTCCGCTTGATAAAGAACTATTTTCATCATACTGTGGAAATAATCTTCTAAACGTTACAAAATTAGCCATATAATTTAGGCTATAAAAAAATTGTCAATAATGTTTACATTTCTGTTGTTTACAAACATTACTTAAAATATCTTGTGATTAGCAGTATTTAAAAACAAATTTTGAAGTTAGCAACAGAAAAATTGACCATATATGTTTTCTTCTGTATGATTTTGCCGATGATTTCGAGAACTAAAAACGGCTTTTTCCGGACAGTATGATGAAAACCAATTTATACTATTACCAAAATATTTTATCCTGTGAAGAATTATTTCTTGAGAATGTTGATAAAGCTTTAATTTGAAGTGTTAAATAAGGTTCTGAAAACACAACCTAATGATGACGTAGTATGTGCTAAAAATTAATGTTATTCTAGTGGATAGGCTAAATATTCATTACAATTGAATGGCCAACCACACAGCCTTTTTACATATATTTTAGAATGAAGCTAAAGCCTCTTTAAATAATCAACACTTAACTGTTGTACTAAGTATTTAATACCTAATTACCATATTGTTCGGCAGGTGGGTAGTGTACTACCGAGGGTTTGGCTGCATACTGTCAACGCACCCTCCCAACTAATGCCCTTCCTCAACCAAGTGAGAACTATCTCACTGCAACTGGACATCAATAAACCTCTTCAAAGGTAACTTGGTCACAACACAAACAAAAATTACTAAGAGGGGTGCGAGTAGCTAAACTTGCCTAGCCTGAAAGTCTTAGAGTTGTGTAACACCAAGCCAGAAAATCGAACCGAACTAATTCTTGCAGTGTTTTCACTATTGCAGAAAGTGTTTGGGAAGAATGTGTGATTAAAAATGTTCATGTCACTGGCAATTGTAGGAGACGATTGTGATTTTTCCGCAGCTGTGCTAGATCCTTGTTATTTGGTCATGTGAAGATGATCTCGATGTCACTGGAATATTGGGAAATCATCACGAGGTCTTGATAATAGCAGGATATCTTTAGAATGTCATCTCGATCATTGGCGATTAATTTTTATTTTAATAAAACTATCAATAACAACGTATTTTATGTATTTAAAATTGTAAATACAATTCCTTTCTAACAACTTTCATGCTAATATATCTTTACTTAATAGTTAGTTTCCTTCAATTCATCAATTTGATTTGAATTAGTTGAGTTATTTATTAGTAGTAAATATCATTGTATGCTTACTTAGGCCACTCTGCGACTATACCTATCTCAGGAAGTGCTGCCTTTTTTAAAACCAAAATTATATGACATTGTTGAGTTGTTTGTTTTATCACACTCTAAACTAAATTGCAATAAATTAAAGACGCTCTTAAATTTGTCTATATTTTTTTTAAATGTCACATTCCTCACGGTAGTCTTCCAGTTAAAATTGCTTGCAAGATTGTAATGCCATGAAATATATTCTTTATTGTCTTTTGAATCTTTACAAATTATCTACAAAATCATGAAACAGCTAAAGCTATAGCTTGGTCAGTTAATGATTGCAATACTCAATATAGATAACTTAAATGGGGGAGACTCATTAGACTACTCAAAAAAATACAAATGAAAAATTTAATTGTAAAAAAACTCACCCAAGCTGTAGAATGGGTTAGTGTATGTAGTGTAATGGGAATGTATTAGTGTTAACGGAGATTGTAAAAACAAATTGTTATGTTCCAGGGATGCTTATGATAAGCTGAGCGGAATTCTGAAGATTGCACCTTGACAACTGTCTTCTTGAATAGTTTTCACCAATTGAAAGAATAATATAATTTAAAAAAAAAACTGTAAATATGTACAAATTTTTAAATTATTCACAGTGTTCTATAAATGTGCATCATTCTTTTATTTTTTAGGATTTTTGTGAATAAATATATTGTAGAAATATTTTTGAATTTGGCACCTTTTTTGACCACCTCTCAACTCTGAAAAAAGGTGTTAAAAGCCTGTTCTATCAGTTTTATTTTGTGACTTTATTTTTTAAACACATAAGCTAGTAAAGACGGTGAACTTTTAATTTAACTCCTTGAGTAAGTAGGTTTTACATATCAGGAAAAGGTTATAGCAAGTCAAATTTTATAAAATATTGTGGATGGGTACTTCAAGGACATTTAATCTCTGTTTCCATAAGTCAAGTGATTTTGGTAGAATTACTACATCCATGAAACCTTTATAATTATTTTTAAACAAACCATCTGAACAACATCAGACCTTTTAACTCTGCATTTTTAGAGGTAAATGTAATGACACCATTACATAACCAAAAGAATGCCATTTGAATAAAATAAAAATGTGACAGACAGATTAATTCGAACAATTTATATCGCTATTAAAAAAAAATAATGCTGTAAACATAGGCTACTGGTAAGGGTGGTACCATGTAGGCTACAGTGTCAATGACAAAGATAACATGGAAAACATTTTGGGGATATGGGTAAATGGGGAAATCTTTTTTGAAAAGACTAACAAAACAAGGTGTCAGCGTCTAAAAAATGATAAAATGTTAACAAGAAATGTTGATTATTTCAAACTGTTATGAACAACGTGAGTAGTTCCATTAATGACATAAGCTTTTTAAACTCATAAAAAATTATGACTGTTGTTAGTTTAAAATAAATCCTGTAATACTGGTACTTTACAATCCTTTGTTTTCGAGCAACAGGTACACTAGTAAATAAAAAGGTTGAAAACATTTTATTTAAAATTTTTTTATAAGTATTTTGGTTGATGAGTGATAATAACGTGCAAAGTTTAAAATAATATGATTTTTTTTATGGTTTAAGGTCCTAAGTTAAATATATAATATCAAAAGGTTTCTGTATTGATTTTATCTGTCGTTATTTACTCCACAGTTTATTTCAATTTTCAATCAATACTGTTTATTTTGCTACGATTGTTATTTCTTGTCTTCGAGTCTTGTGTTGTTGTCCAAGTGATTATTCAATGAAGACTTGTCAGTGTGTAATTGTTCTGGACTGATTATGCAATAACCTTTTGAAATAATCATTGTGATTTTCCAACCAACATTTTTCTTCAAAAGCTCTTTCTAATAAATAAATGCCTATTGTCTTGCAAGAATTTGGAAAACTGGGGTACCTGTTCAGAAAGTAATATAGCGTTGCAATCACTTAATGTGGGATACATAGTCTACTTCAATCGTGAAACCGTAGTTTTTAGTCAACCGTGACTGCAATGAATCAATCATTTTAAAAATCTATAAAAAATATTGTGTACAAAATTTGAGTCATTCTAATTTTATAGTTTGTATTGGTGCAGACTTATTTCCTCAAAGTAGTAATGTTATTTTTCATCATGCAACCATTCTTCCAGATAAAAACCTATTGTACATATTATTTTCATTTAATTTTTAAAACTTCTTTTATAGTTTATAATCAATAGAACACTACTGTGATACGTTTTCCTTTGAGTTTAGTTAAATCTTTGGGGTATTAGAAAGTAATTAGTAATTTTCATCAGCGTACTCTATCAGTGGCCCAGTTTCATTCTACCTATGGAGTCTACTTATGGTTATTGGGACACCCCTTTTATAAACTGGACAATTTTTTCAGATGTGAAGATGTCCAGTTTTAGGTGAGTATTCTTTGTAATTTTTTCATTTTAGAAGTTGCAGTTTTTAATTTGTGATTGTACCGTTTTAACTTGTTATGTACATTTTTCAATATATATTTTTTGTTCTCTCTTCAATATTGGGCTATTACCTTTAAGATAGTTTTAAAAGAGAATAAATATTGTATGACCTGGCAGTTGCACTGCATCTTATGACTTTGTCAATGATACTATTGTATTTTTACGACAAATAAAGATTTATTATTAATTATTATTATTACCACTAGCATTGGAATGGAACCTCAAGTTCTATCAATAATAAAACATAGTATGTACAAAAATAAAACTCCAAAAATACACACTGGTAGCCTACGTTTGTGTTAGGCCTGTATAAAATTGAAAATAAGAATCAAAATTCATGGTCTGGCCCCTTGACTATTTTATTAAGTAAGACAATAATCGTTTTTTTCACACCTTTATCAAATTGTTCAATAATTAAGCTGAACAAGATGAGCAACTGCAATCTCAATCATTGGATTATTTAATGTATGTAAAAACATATTGTCTTGGAAAATAAGAATCAAAATATTTAAACCATAACTTTACCACCATAACCTCACTGTAATCAGAAAGCAAACAGTTACCGAGAAACCGGTTAAAATTGAATAACAAATAAGATAAGCGGATGAGTGGTGGTGTTGTCGTCTGTGATGGTCGCACTTTGACCGGTGATTACGGATTAATGACTCTACCAAGTGGTCAGTAGTGGGTGACCATCAGTGATAGCCAGGTCAAGAGAGCCTGAAACAGTTTGTCGCTGTATGTGAAAAGGTGATTAGTTCAAAATGAGGATTATAACTTTTTGTTTTGGTAAGTATTAAAAAATAATTTGTTAAACTTTGAATAGTTTTATGGCTTGGCGTGTAATTCTTATATGCAAGCTTGCTGCAGGATTTAGTTCTAGTATTTTTTTATTTTATTATTTGTATCAGGGCAAACCTAAAAAAAAATTATCAAAAACAAATTAATTAATTTATTGGTAGAAATTGTTGGAGTGTGTGTTTATTTCAATCTATGTAAAATTTAGGTTTTCTGAAAAATTAATAGACCCCCTTAAATTATTTATGTGTACTAATTATTTGAGTACAAATAATGTTTTACTTTTGTAAATATTTATGAAGTCTTTTAAAATATTTTTTAATTTTTTAAAATACAATTCGACTTTTTAAAGTAGCTCGGGATTAGCATTGATAGTCGATGTTTTTAGAAACTGACGTTTTTCTGTCAATGTTCAATGTTTACATCAACGGTAGGTTTCCGATGTTTTCGTTACATCAATGTTTATGTCAAAGATAGATTTTTTTTGCCAACTATAAAAATTTTTATGTTTTAGTTTTTTTTCTGTAGCTGATTGTATAATTTTAATAAAAATATCAATGCTGGTCTAAACGGAAAATAGAATTTTTGTATTTATTATATTGAAAGGCTGATGAAATGTCGATCCAATAATATCACAAACTGGACAAGACTTAGAGGAGAATGAGATAACTATCTACATTCTTGGATGGGTGCTTGGTCTAAATGCAGGCAGCACTCCTATTCAAGTATCAATTATGTAGTCTATTATAAGTTTCATAAATTTAACGGTGGCACTGCTTTTAGTATCCAACAGAGGAAAGTTATCAGGTAATACTGTACTAAGAAAGTAAGTAATTGTTGAGTTGCAATCAAACTATAATTTTTATCAGAGATTTGCTGTTCTGCACCTTTATCAACATTAAACTAAATTTAGATAAATTATTAAAAACATCTTACTTGTAAAAATATTATTTACTTTAAAAATGTCAGTGTTAGGTGTAGTTTGAGTAAAAATAGTACAATTAACAGTCATATTAAACAATTTGGGGTATTACATTATTTATTACATTATTTATACATATTTTACAAACTGCAGAAGGAAATTAACACATGCATTGAAATGTGGTGTAGAAATAAATAAAAGGTATCATTATTTGCCAAAATGTTGGACTACTGAAAAACATACAAAAGAATAATACTGTATGTTAATAATATGGATGTTTTTCTATCCAGTGAAGGATTCCATTGAGTGTGTTTCCTATTGTAATATAAACAAAAGAGTTGCTTCAGTATATGGCTTATCTTAAAACAAGAAAAATATCAGTTTGGTTAACAATGTTATCAGCTAATTTAAACAAATCAAAGGAAATGAAATGAAATGAAATTGTTTACATGAACTTAATTTCTAGTGATCTTTTAACTTATCACTTCTCTGAAATGGGAAAGGAAATAAGACACGTTTTTTACCTAAGCATATTTAAACCACTAAGCCGTGTTTACTCCGTAATTTAAAAGGCGTTTTAACAAAAGTTCACAACAATTAAAATAGTCTTAGTTTTGTTGAAATGTTTTCAACAGTTTACAGTTGTAGGCGTAAGGACAATCTTTACAGTGATTCTTAAGAAAATAGCGCAAGCAATAGGTAAGTAAATCCTGTAAATAAATTGTCCTTAAGTCTTACAGCACTGTAACTATGTTTAATCGATAAATAAGAATTAATGTTATTGATGACTTTAGATACATAATAGTAGTACACACAAATTATTATATTGCTTATTGTATCAAAATGATTAAATAACGCTTAACTAATAGTCATAATTCTATAATCAATGGTAAGGTAAGTAGTAAAAGGTTCTTAGATCTCTCTAGAATGCATTGACATTTAAATCATATTTATTTACCATTATCATATGTTTTGAAAGTATATTTTGTAAACAATATGATCACAAAAGAAATAAGTTCAAATTGAAATGATGGAGCAGGATTTAAATTCTGAAGATATGGCAATTTTTGAACAATCTTTGATACTACTGCACTCACCAGATATTGATTCAGAAAGGACGCTGTACAACCTAATGAATATGAGTATTAGAAAACATCATCATTCGAGACAAATTTTACATGGAAAGAACATTTCTGGAATTCCATTAGTAGAACCCAGGTACCGTATTCACCAAAATAAAAGAAAACCTTGATTAAGGGTAAGACCTAATCACTTTTTCTGAGAATCATCAGAAAATCTTTGTTTGTTTGGACATACTGTTGCCAAGTTTAAGTTATTTTGTACCTAAATTTGTATTAGTTTTGTAATTTTAAGTTGTTAAATTTACATTGGTAAAGTAGACAATGGGTACACTTCCATATCTGTTGGCACAACGACCGAATGAATATATCGATCAATATATCGATTATTCGATATATCGTTCGGTTAGTTAGGTATAAGGTTAACCTAACCAAACGATATATTGAATCAAATAATCAATATTAAGTTACTCATTCGGTTGTTTGTGCCAACAGATATGGAAGTGTACCCTGCTGGTTATATAGGTACATCTTATGAAGAGTTAAACTGTCCATTCAGAATTGACAGGACCTAAGATTTTTTATTTCAAATTTTTGATACTTCTTACACAATCATTTTCATTGGCTTGTTATCTCAATGCCATTGGAATTTTCTGCATTTTTTGTACGGGAACCGGGAACAGTCCAAACCCAGGATAACATCCAATTTATGTTGAATCGTATTATAAAATGCTCTGTCCAGTTTGATTATCAAATAAAAAATATAAAAACTATAGTGTTACTTAAATTAGTATATAGGCTACAAATCAAATCATAATCATTTTATTAGCACATAATGTACAAAGTTTACAGGTAAATGTCATTCTTCTTATACAGCAGCTCTGAAATTTATTTTCTTTGTTTTTTTTGTTAGTGCTAAAGCTGTTTAGATGCTAACTCATGCATTCCAATTTTTATTTTATTGTTAAAAATCCCATCATATTTACTTATTGTTTAATACAAAACAGATTGTAAATAAAACTATGTTTAAAAAAAAATTCTTATAACATTCTTCTTATAATAGTCCTTTCTTAAAACTAAATAACAGACTTTAAAGTATTTAGTAAGTACCTATTTAGTCAGAGTACGGTATACCAAAAGTGGTTTGTTTAAATGTTAGTAAACTACGGTACAAAATAAAGTATGTCCCATCACACTAAGTTAATTTACTTGCAATTATTATCTTTTTTCTAGTGGTTCTGAATCCATCGAAGGCAAAGAAAACTCTTTTGATTATTCAATCAATACAAATGAAAGTCTCACAGATCAAAATAATGAATCTCCACCTAAAATGACTAGTTTTTCAAACTCTAGTGAAGAAATCACAGTTCAGTCAACTAGTTTCTCCGATGATCATGTTAAAGATTCTGCAGTTGCTGTAATGGATCTTTCAGTTATAAGTGGATTGAGATACAAATCAGATCAAGTTTTACCTCAGAAACATCCTAGAGTTTCACACATGTTTGCAGATCATTCATTTGTCAAACGAATGCGAAGAGCTGCAACAAAATCGTCAACAAAACATAGCTACTGCCCGAACCCTGTAAATCTGAAGAAAATAAGAGCAATTCTAGCAAGAGGAGACCCTTTCCCCACTAATTTGATGAGACCTTCTGTTAATACCACTGCGGATTTGTTGAGGGAAAAGTTGTAAACATTGTTAACTGTGGGTCAATTAATAAAAATATTAATTTGTTACAATAGTCATCTTTTTATAACTAGCATTATAATTTTAGAAGTACTATAATGGTTAGATTTCAGGACTTCTGTCCTTCCCTGCCAATCTCAATTGTTTTTACATCCTAGCTAAGATAACTACGGCTCTAGCTCGGAACTGTTTTACACATTTCTTTTGACTAATCTTAGTGGGTCACAGCATTATCACATAAAAAACATAACGGTGATTGGTAAGATTTAAACCTAAGATCTTTGGACGGAAGACTTGTGCTCTACTACTAGACCAGTTCACTCTCCATTGCCATTTGCTTAATAGCTCCATCATCCATCAGCTTTGCGATAATACTATAACCCAATAACTTAGCTCATAGACTTTCAAAAGATGTAGGATAGATACACCAATAAAAAAAAGAAAAGGTTACTGATTCAAGGTGAAAATATTGCTGGTCCTTTGGTATTACAGCAAGGCTAAGAGTAAGGTTAACATTATAAAAATGTACTCAAAAATATAAGACAAACGCAAGAGTCTACCTCAAAATACTCAATTGTTGCCAAAAAAATGCAACACACCACAAAACAGGCTTTATCTTTTACAGTAGAATTAAAAGGCTACTTTCAGAATCAAAATCCAAAGTCAAACCTTTTGAACCTTGTAATATCCTTAAGCCGCTTTCACGAAGCCAGTAGCCTGCCTTAAAGCCGCATTATACACGAAGCCAGTAGAGCAGGCAGGTTACATTAGAGGCAAGTAACCTGCCCAGCAACCTGCCTACTTTACTGGCCTCATTCAAACGCAACTTTAAGTGTATTTCAAATTATCTGAGGCAGGTTACATGCCTGCCAACTATAGCTTTGTGTAAACAGGCTAACTTAAAAACCCTTTCAGGTTCTGATTTTTACTTCTGCATTATAGGATGAAGTTCAAGGATATTATAAACTTATGTTATATCGTAAGAGCAGCTCTGCTATTGTAGCAAGATGTTAACTACCAATTTTTTCAACATACAATTCGTAAAATTTTAATAATATAACTGTTTGTTTCAGGTATCCTTTGCTTGCTGTGCCCAATCTCCGGAGAAGAGAGAGAGCTGTTTGCTGTCAATCAGGAAGTAAAATTTGCTTGGTCCGCAAAAATTAGAGTCGGTTCTAACTTTCCGGAGGAGACCTTGTCAGAATGGAACATAAATGCAAACTTGATCGTTCAAAAAACAACAGATGCAACAATACTGCAGGTATACAATTCAGTGAAACGATTATTTAAATTTTAAGATTGGAGTGTTTTGATTTAAACATGCCTTTCAATACATAGCTGGGTATAGCTGAGTGGGTACCCATGCAGCTAATACAGCTCCTCTAGTATTAAGAGGGTCTCTGGTACAATCCTGAGAAATAATTTTTTATGGTTCGAAACTGGACCCATCAGTCCTACATCATTTGGTTGTATTATGATCTTGACTAAAGAAAATTCTGGTCATAGTTTTGTGGCAAAGCTACAGAGGCCATTCCACTCAATTTTACCAAAGATTCTACACTCAAGCATTCTTCATTCAAATTCTGATTCTCTGTTTCAAACATGCAACATTATATTCCTGTTTCAACACAATAACGATGATAAGTTTTTCTTCACTTTCCTTGCTAGTGATCGGAACTATCTATCAATACTCTTAATTCAGTAAGGGGGTTTTCTGTAACATTCCCTTTTCAGCCGTCCTGAACAGATTTAACGATTGAGGTGTAATTTAAAAGCTAAGATTTAGCAAAGAGGGACAAAAACGGTTTAAAAAAAAGGAAATTTCCTGTAGGGCTTTGCATCCCATGCGTTTGATTTATTTCTATAATTCACTTTCAAACAAGTGATAAGTGATGCTGACCAAATTTCTTTATAACAGTTTGGTTGTGAATTGCAATTTAACAGCTGATCATCCAGTTGATGTTCAACCACAGTCAGATTGTAAACAAGAGACGAAAAAGTTTATGAAAATGGAGCTTTACTTTTTAAATAAACTGTAGATTGATTGAGGTACGTTAATAACTCTTAATGGGAGGGTATGGATAAAAATTTACTACAATTTACTTTTATTCCCTACCATCGACTTCACTCAGATATACATTAATTAAAACTCGCTTGCCTTTTCAGCTTTCAGATATAAAGTCAGAAGATGAGTTCTCTGTGGACATTTCCCGCCTACTGCTCCCATTCCGAGCTGTGTACAAGGGAGGTACGCTAGTGAGTCTCGAGACGACCAATGATGATGTCGAGTGGTCCATCAACATTAAACGAGCTTTGGCAAGTTTACTGCAACTCGACATCAACGGAATATTTGGCAGCGTTTCAGCTTTTATATCTAGTGAGGTAAGGAATACCTGGAAATTCTCATAATGAGTTTTTTTTTTATCATTTGATGCGAAATTATTCTTGGACCCAGGAATATGCTTTATTTTTTTGTTTGAATAATACATCATTGAGTACTTAAACTAAAGTAGGTTATAATTTGAAGGAAAGCCATTAAGCTATAGTAGGAGAAATGTCTGGAATTGGAAAATCACTCCAATTTTGAACTTTTAACTGACATATTTCTCTTCAACTTACTCAATAAGTCCTAAATCAGGACGAAATATCAGTGTTATGAAGTGTTCTTTTATCAAGTAGGCCCATCTTATTGCCCCTGGACACTATTTTCTCCAGTAAGCTAGTCGAACTCTATTCCTTTATTTAAAAAATCTTAAAGTAGATATTTTTTAACCTTTTTCATTAAGGGAGAAGGAATGAATTAAAAACCAAGTTACCTAACAAAAAAATAGTTTTAACCAGTTGATAGGACAAAAAAGTAAAGGTTAACGGTTTGAAAGGACCATGAGGTACTGAGTTTGCCTTACTAAAGAAGAAAATTTATTTTATTTTAAAGTTCACAGTACAATTAACTTGATAATCCTCTCCTCCAAGGGGGCTTCTTTTGACGGACTCTTTTGATATCTATAGATGAGTTAATTGTGTGGTAAATCATTTCCAAAGCCAGAAGTTTTTATCTCATATAAACCAAGCAATACAGATGCTATGTTTTTTATGTCTTTGCTAGATTTTTTTAAGTATTCCAAACAAAAATCTCTTTTCAAAGTGTTGTTACACATTTAGAATCGATCACATACATTATATTTGATAGAGGTCTATAATACCTCTAGTCTAGCATATCTGAATCTTAGTCAAACTTTCAACAATAGTTTTTTTAATATAAGAACGTTTGACATTTGTTTAAAGTCCTGGTTTTTGCACGGTGTTATGTGTGATTTAAACTAATGACTTAAGTTTTCACAGATATGTCTTGTCTACAACATTGTTATTTTACAGTCTGGTCTCTACGGTACTTGCAGAGTGGAATATATTGTAAGTCCTGTGGGAAATAATGTCCACCATATCCGGAAGATCTTGGACCTCGTCTCTTGTAAGAACAGCCCAAGCACATTTTGGTCAAGCAGTCCAAAATTGCTTTGTCCAAGCAGCTACCAGGTATGTAATTTTAGCCAGTAACTAAAATGATTTTTTACAATTTATTTTAATCGACAGCAAAAAATAGGAGATTTCTCACTTTTTGAAATCCCTCGGAGCTAAATTTTGAATGTCAAAACCCTGTCTCTGGGAAATCCGGGAATATGGCAACCCAGTGGAGGGGGTCACTACCCCCTTGACCCACCCTGAGACTGCCCTTGTTTGGCATACATGTATTTTCTTTATAAATATACCAACATTCTGTTTCTTGTTGGTAAAATAATGTTAAATGATAGTGTTAAATGAAATAGTGTTAAATGTATAGGCTAATGAGATGCCATTACATTGACAAATATTTTAGTAAGTTATTGGGGTATAATCTATTAATATTAATTTATGTTCAATATATTTTCTAGACAGAGGTGCTCCCTCATGCGGAGAGAGCCTACTTTGTTGACAAAGACGCTCCTTTCCTCATAAAAAATATAACGTCAAAAGCTGCAATTGTGCTGGAGCCATACCAATCAAGAGCAGAGGCACATACTTCAATAGTTAAGTGAGTATGTTTGTAAAAGCCAACAATTGATCCTTTTATTGTTCTATTATTTATTAAAATTTAGTTTAATTTAGGTCTGTATGTCTGTTTAAAACCCTTTACATGGGGATTTCCAATAATATCTTGATAATGCCAGGTTTTGGTTAGTTGATTTTGATTCCTTTCCAGCTTGACATTGCCATATAAACTCTAATTTAAAAATCGGTGTCCTCCTCCTCCAACGAAGTGTAAAAAGACGCAAATCCGGTTCTGGTAACATTTTCCATTAAAGTCACTAATGCCGTCACTTTCACCTGAGCTGGACTCCGTTTGTTTAAAATTGTCCCTTTGGCTAAGCTACAAATTATTAAGCTTATTTTGGATTGCCCATAAATTGGAATCGAACCCGGAGAGAATGTAAGATGTAAATAACATTCATACATTGTTTACTCAGAGAGCGCGACTGGAGCTCGGCTCCACTTGTGAGATGTGAGAAGCCTGACTCACGCCACAGAAAACGTACTACTATAACCCAGAATGCCAACCGCATGGTAAAAAGCATTAAGCGTTTTGAGAGAGCTTTACCTGTCAATCGTAGGTAGCCGTCAATCCGTAGGCAGTGTTAGGTGTGTAGGCAGCCGTAGGCGCTGCCTACGGATTGACAGGCAAAGTTCTCTCAAAACACTTAATGCTTTTTACCATGCGGTTGGCATTCTGGGTTATAGTAGTATGTTTTCTGTGCTCACGCACACACACACTCAATCAATGGTCCTTGCTAACCCTTGTGTCTGTATTTGTGAGGCCTGCATAATATGCAGGTGGGGCGATGCCCAAGGATCGCCCCTACTCACACATATTATGTGTGAGTAGGGGCGATCCTTGGGCTCCCTTAGCAATAAGGGGATAGTTAAATCTTTTGACAATAAATGTTGATTGACATTACGTCTCTCAGCAAGGTGGGTCCCTAGATTAGGGCTTACAGAGCTATATTGATAAATGCAGCCCTGGTAGTTTACTTAACAATTAACATTACGTGTGTTGAATAGCCAGACTCTGCTTGTGGAGTCAGTTGGCCCAATAGCGAAAGAGCTGTCATTCCCTGGGGCGATGAACGTCACCGACCTTTTCTACAGGGAGATTGTACTCGATGCGACATATGGACTACCACCTTCCAACAAGACTATTGTTCTGTCAGAGGTTAGTAAAATATTACATGGTAGTGAAATTAATGGTAGTAAAAATGTATGTTTGTACAACCAAAATTATAGTAGAAGAATTTGACTCTTTTTTGGAAAATTTGGGAGGGTCCATTTCATTATACACCCTAAAAGACTTGACCCTTACATGCTTAAGTAATTTAAATACTCATATAATCAAGTTCATCAATATTTTAACTAGGTATACTCAGGACAGGACCAATCTTTTAATTTTTACTCCCCAAATTTTTGAAAAACATAATCTGTCAAGTAGCACATTCATTTTTGTGATGGATTTGGGTGGTGGAAAAATTATGGTATTTTCAATAATCTAGCATTGGTCGTAATGTCTAAAATCATTTTTATGCTGTTCCAAGCCATTTTTAGGCTAACGTCGGGAGCGATCGGTGGATGTCAGACAAGCAGTAGATGTTGGGAGCAATCAGTAGATGTTGGGAGCAATCGGTAGATGTTGGGAGTCACTGAAAGACGCCGGGAGTGATCCTAATCGAAACGATCCATACTAATGAGTTTTTACCCACAGATCAGTACGATGCTGGAAGACCTCAGCAACAGTTTGTGGTGGGAGGTCGGGTCCCGGGGACTCAACAATGAGACAGTGTTCAGTCTGATCAACCTGATGTGGTGGCTGGAGTTGGAAGACTGGGAGCAACTCTACCACAAAGTCACTTTAGGTACCAGCTACCAACAGGAGACCATGCAGTGAGTGTCACCTGACCATGTGTACAACTAAACTATTCTAATTGAAAAGCTGTAGCTAGTTTTGAAATACAGGGTGACACAAAGGAACCGGACGTTTTTTAAACAGCTGTTTCATCGTTGTCGCACGTGGTAGGAAGATTTAGGTTATGTCATACCCTTCAGTGAGGCTTGCCATTTTTGTTGAAATGGCTCAGTGGACCTTAGAACATCGCGTTTTCGCATACAATACTTTGGTCCAAAATAGTGAATCCGTCGTCATATCCAGCGGGAATTCAATGGGCATTTTAATGTTGAACGCCACGGAACGGTTCCAAGCCGAAATATGCTATTTAGATGGGTTTCAGGGTTCCGAACAACTGGGAATATAACAAAAAAGAAACCACCAGGCCTTGTTAGAATTTCGAGAACACCGGAAAACATCGACATATTGAGAGCAGTATGGAATGAATGTTTCCGAATTTCTCACTTTGGTGACATACCGTGGCCACCAAGGTCACCTAACTTGTCCACTAAAGATTACTTCCTGTTTAAGGAGCGTGTGTTTACTACGCTCACAAACCACGCACTCTAGGGGATTTGAAGTTGGCAATCACAGAAGATATCAACGGCATTGAATAAGTCCTCCTGAACTGAGTTTCAGATGATTTTCAGACCAGAATGAACATTTTGTAGAGAAGTACATGGCCGCCATTTGCATGACGTCACTTTCAAAAAATGACTGTTTTGTAACAAATGGCAAATGTTTACCTCACTATGTACAGTATTAAAACCATTTTATTCCCTTTAACTACTGTGTACTACTTATTTAAAAAACGTCCGGTTCCTATGTGTCACCCTGTACAAATGATATTTATTGTTCATTTTAACCACTGATAGAGTATGCTGACGTAAATTACCGATCTTTGTGGAATACATTAATTGTTTAAGCCCAACTGGAAGGACAAATTATTGTAAAATATAAAACTTTTTATGTCACTTCAACTATATCAAATACAAAATTCAAGGAAATAAAACTTAAGACAATAGCAGTCTCTGTATTTGGCTCGTTCAACTACAGTATGTTATATTTTAATAACAAATGGGCTTCTCGTGGTTCAAGATGAGATAGTTCCTTTAATATCCAAGAGGTAATGATGGGACACTATTTCATTTACCACATTATAAAATATTAGGGTAAAACCCATCTATAAAGAATTATATTACGATTTTGTTACTGCAACTTTATAACCACTAAGCACCCCAGACAATGTTTAACACTTGAACTTAACTGAAATGTGATTCCAAGGCATCTGTTCTGGGAGTTGGTACCCGTGGTTGGTTCACCACAGTCAGTTTTGTTCATCCGAGATTTGGTCAAGTCGGAACGGATCCGAGGTTTGCTGGCCGGACGACTTCTCGTCAACTTTCCTTTCTACCAACGAAAACCCACTGAGGACCTACTGACCCAATGTGAGGTATGAACATCTCCATAATTCAAAAATGTCATATCCAGTTAGTAGTTATCTAATACACCAACCAAACAAACTTATGATTACCAAGTTTACTATCTTCTCTAAGCAATAATGTCTTGAATTTAATAACAATTTTGAATATGGGTTGGCGAAAAATAATGCACCAAAGTTCATGTAGCTGGTCCACCTTGATGGTTGGTTATATTTGTTGGTAGACCAAACCTTGCCCGTTTGCTTGAGCTTTAGTTATATATACCACAGAGAAAAAGGAACAGAGGATAACCTCCATGGTACACTAAGGTGGTGTCTAGCACTAGTGCTGGTGTCTAGGGCAAAGTGCAACACCGACCTGATGTACTTCAACGTTCACAGTGGAGGAAGACCCTGTGCGATAGGAATTTCCGCACGTGCTCTCCGTTCGGGCTCTTGCTTGCTTGTCACAAGTATATTGGCACAACAGCTGAAAGGGCACGGTTGCCCCACAAGCGTGTTTCCTCGGTACCTACTTCTCAATGGTTATACTTACTATCTGGCACGGACTACATTGTTACACTCTTTTCCAGCATATTTTGATTAGCTTATTTGACTTCTTAAGACAATGTTTAAAGAAATCACACCTGAACAAAAGAAACGTTACCTTGAGGACGGAAAGAAAGACCTAAGCCATATTGGATAAGTTTGAACTAAAAACTAAGATGAAAAATCATACATAGTGGTAAAAAAATTTAGCACAAATCACATATTTTTGTTGGAATTTAGATTGCTACCCATAGTTTATTGCTGTAAGTAGTGTTGCTTCTAAGTATAATGCGAGTACTTGTGATTTCCAGGAGTTTTTGCATTGGAGCTATCCAATCGGAAAGGACGTCAGACATTCTGCAATTCTCACTTTTGCCAACCTTCTCCATAAAGTTTGCAACTTGGGGTGCAAATCCGATACTATTGACAGATACGCCAAGTTCTACCTGGACAGACTTACAGGTAATGGACAGTGTTTTACAAAGAATATTTAAAAAAATCGCTAGAAAAGTATTTAAAGAAATTACTTTTGTTTCAAATTTATCATGATTAAAGTGTGTGATTGTAGTGTGTGTTACTTTTGTTTCTAAATGTTTGTATAGAAATCCTGTCATAATCTTGAATGAGTTTTATGTTCTAGTTTAACTGTTTCATTGTGTAAATAAATGAGCTAGATTGCTTCAGTATTCCCATTATTTTCACATTTCACATACTTCTACAGGAGATTTTAACTCTTCTAATGCCCTAGAGTTGGAGTTACCTTGGACATTAGAGTTTCTATTAAAAGACATGTTTATAAAATTAATCTACTTCATATATAATTTTCTTATAACATAGTTGTGAATACCTCAATTGCATAAGTAAAGCCTATCAAGAAATTTCCAATACGATAAAAATACTGGAATTTGAAGAAAAGAATCAATAAAACACTATCAATATCAATACAAACACTTAATATACAGGGTGTCACAAAAAAGTGTGATGGGCTGTACAGGATCTAATTCTACATGCAAAAATAAGTAAAAAATACAGAATAAAATTTTTTGGATTTCGGCTTAGTTTAGCCGTAATCCGCCATTTTGTTTTTTGGGAAAAAATATTTATTATTTCAAATTCCCTTTGATATATTTTTACGAAACTTGGCAAAATTGTTTACACTATAGTAAGTAACATTAATAAAAAAAATTATTATTTTAACTTTCCAAATTTTAAAATGGCGGCCGTTTGAATTTTTTAATGCCAAATTTCATGAAAACTGGTACCTAAATCAACATTTTGTAAGAGACAAAAGTTTTAGTATTTATATTATGACAAATCCAACAAAACAAAAATGAATAAAATCGGTTCATAAATAAAGAAGCTGTGTTTATTTTAGTAATTTAGACTGAAATTACTTGATACGTTACATAAATTATTACATTACATTTAATACATTTAAATATTAATAATTTCAGTCTAAATTACTAAAATAAACACAGCTTCTTTATTTATGAACCGATTTTACTCATTTTTGTTTTGTTGGATTTGTCATAATAAATACTAAAACTTTTGTCCCTTATAAAATGTTGATATAGGTACCGGTTTTCATGAAATTTGGCATAACAAAATTCAAACGGCCGCCATTTTGAAATTTGGAAAGTTAATATAATAATTTTTTTTATAAATGTTACTTACTATAATGTTAACAATTTTGCCAAGTTTCGTAAAAATTTCTCAAAGGGATTTTGAAATAATAAATATTTTCCCCAAAAAACAAAATGACGGATTACGGCTGAACTAAGCCGAAATCCAAAAAATTTTATTCTTCATTTTTGACTTATTTTTGCATGTAGAATTACGTCCTGTACAGCCCATCACACTTTTTTGTGACACCCGTAGAGCACTGGACAGAACAAAGACAAAAACAATATCACATCAAATACAGAACAAATCAAACATTCAACAATTTACAGAGAGCACAGAGTACGAGGAGCGCATGCTGTATCTGCAGGGACTGTCTAACATTGAGCTAAAACAGAGTCTAGACTATCTGGCTCCGATCATCACAGGCCAGACGACCACAGATCATCACATACAGTTCCTGTCTACCTGGGCTGTCATCAATACTGTCTACACGTATCCCAACAAGGTAAACAAACAGGGAATACATTGTTTAGCTGAGAAAAGTCCTTTATCATTGGGTTTTCTTTAAATAAATGAATTGCTCCACCGAACAACTTTGAATGTGAATATTTTCTGAACGCGCAAACTTTCTGGCCGCGCCAGTTTCCTGCGCTTTCAATCTCTTTTTGTAAATTCCTGTCAAACTATGTATTTTTAAAACGAAATATCTCACCCTGTAGATAAAGTAATTGTTCCTGACTTAATTAGGGATTTGGTTGGCTCCTCCCAATGAATCAATTAATAAAGTAGTACCTATTTGTAGGAATGGCTTGGTCTTATATACCATATTATCCCAATGTACGTACCGGTACGTAAATTTTTCCTCGGTTTAAAACTTGACTCATAAATCTGGGATTATTGGTATTTTAATGAATGGTCTTGAAATAGACAGATCTTATTCAGAAAAAGCTACAAAGATAATTCACTCCATTCTACACTCACCAAGTATTCACAGACCACATTCATACAGAAGTACGTCCCTGTTGAAGTGATTATAATATGTTACCTGTGGCAGATCTTTGAACTGTTCTGGCCAGTTTTGTGCAACCGGTCGCAGACTCTGGAGGTGAGAGTTGCGGCTCTCACGATGCTCGTTCTCTCCAAACCGGCACCGGACCGATTCATCAGTTTGTTCTGGTACATGCAGACCGAGCCTAGCCTTCAACTGTACAACTTCTTCTATACAACTGTCAAGTCTCTAGCTTCAACCACCTACCCCTGCTACTCTCAACTGTAAGTCTGTAGATTGTACTAAGATGAGATTATTAGTGTGTGGTTGTGTCGGGTGTGTCGGTGGTAGGGAAGAGACATCCTAGCACTGTTGCCATATTCAAGGCACACCCTAGGGGTACTGCTGTTCTCTTCTTCAAGGCTAAGCTTATTTTAGTTGCAGCTTTGTTCTACTACAACTACTACAGAAATTTGGCAACATGGACTACAACTGTTGCTATGACAAATGCCCCTTACTGATTGGTCTAGGCCATGGTGAGCCTCCAGCCCCCAATCCTCTCCTCAAACCTAAAGCAGTTTGAATCAAACTAGTTATAACTCCAACTCACCACTGTGGATATTTCAAGTAAAAGATAAGTGATGAGTGTTGAATAAATTAGATGGCAGTTTGTTCTTTAACTAGAACCAAGACTGCACCTATAGCATATTGGGATGTCTTGAAATTTAATGGACCCAACTTCAACCCATATCCAGTGGCAAAGCTAAAAATCATCTTGCCCAACCCACACTCTTGCCTAATTTATATTTTTGTTCTAATAGTCCTTGAATGTGAGTTTTTGACTCACCCACATTAAGATAAGTGACTATGCTATTTCAAACCTATAACAACTTGATATCTGGATTTTTTTGCAGAGGTATAATTTCGTCCCAACTTACAAGATATGTTCCAAAGAAAACAACAATTTGGGCAACAGGAAACTATCTTCTAGACTATGAGGACAAGGAGCGAGGGTTCGGTGGAGTTTTGCAGCTTTTGTCCATCGGTAGTGAACGGACAGGGCTGCCTAATGTTTTCATATTTATGACTGAGCAGCATTCATTGGGCGTCACCACTTCATATGCGGTAAACAATTTTTCATATTTTGCATGGTCGTTTTAAGATACTGTACAAGTGCATGGTTTGTTTGGTTTATTAGCCACAGAGTGTTTGCAAACAATTGTCTTGGTAACTGATTGGTTACAATGTATGCCTCAAAATCTGAAGGTCAATGGTTTGATCACAATTATTGGTATTGATATGGACCCAGATGTCATCTGTCATGTCTAATGATGCTAACCTAACGCTCAAACAAAAGGTCAATATTAGATACTAATATACCAGCCTTTTGGGCCATTATTTCATAAAAAAACTTAATTCCAATGTTATTGAAAAACACAAAATAAATACGAGAGATTAAATTAAATTATCTTCTGAATCATACTGGAAAAATTAATGGAGATCTTCTGATCACCATAACCACTGATCTACACAGCATGTAGGAAGTAAGTAGAATTGCAGTACATCTTGTGGCTGTAACCTTTAAAAATAATCATATACTTTTTCTTAAATGGATTTGGGAAGTTTGAGTTCTACTCTAGTTTTTCTTATGCAGCTGTACATCAAAGCAGAAGGCGTTGGAGAAGGGATCAAGCGTCAGCTGCACAACATGACAGCTCACGCCAACATCAACTTTGCCAAGATTGCTCAGCTGTTGAAGACACTCAAGGCTCCAATCAAAGAACAGGAGGAGATTCATTTGGAGTTCATCTTCAAGGTGGATGGCAGAACTATTATAACCCAGTACTTGAATAGCTCTTCATTCAACAATATAACTACAGGTAGGGTAAACTAGCTTTTAGCCACACCAAAAATTCTTTGCCACATTATCCGGTCCTCTGCATCTTCCACCACTGCTCCAATTCTCAGTACATGTTCTGCCCATCTTTCGACATTTAATTTGACTGTTTAACTACACAGATCAAACAGGGTTAATATCATCACTAAACACTTTTCCTCCTCTAATTCACAGTTCCTGCTCAAAAAGATTTCAGCCAGAATTCCCATCTTGAGGGTCCATGGTAAAACAGCTCAACTAATATTTATCTGTTGACAGTTGTCCGAAAGCTGAGCTCCGTCTACTTCGAGTTCAGTGTGAACTATCAACGCCTCATGTTTCCACTGTTCCTGACGCAGAGTCTTCCCACGGATGTTGGTACGCCGTCGCTCATACAAATCCGCAGTGGCACGTTGGTGTCTGCACGCGGCAGTGTCAGTCAAGACGATGAGGGTAGAGCTCGTAATGCTGAGCTAGACTTGAGGTAGATCAATAGTTGAGTATTTGTAGAAATAGACATTTCAATAAAACTGCAGTCAGTTTTAGAAATAGTGGTTGGATTTTGAGCCACCTACAAAAAGCACTGATTTCTATTGTGCGGCAATTACTGATGTCTATCGTATAAGCTTTTTAACCAAGATAAATTGAGAGTACTTATTGCCAACCATAGAATATTTTATAGTATAAGTAGTAGTAGTATTATTATACTAATAGTACCAAATACTAAAGGAATAAAATTTTGACATCAGCACACTCTGTTCTGTTATGAAAAAAATTGGCTACAAGCTACAACAGTTCTGTATGCGTCGTCTACTTCATTATCCTAAAGTTTACGATAGAATATAAAATCACTTAATCACATAACAGTTGTAAACATTGCCTAACTTAGTTTTAGTTTACTTGGTGTCGTTGGTGTACAATACTTGAAATTTTCCACCTTACCAGCATGGAAAAAAATGGATTTTCAAAAATTAATCCCTAATAAAGTTTTATTCATTATTTTAAAATTTTTCACAAGTCACATCAAATATCTAAGTATCAAAAACTAAGTGATGGTAAAAAAACACAACTTTTACAGCAGAGCGCTCTGTGAGTTGCTCATTTAGCTATGTTCTATTTAAATAAATATTTGCTACAGCTAGCATTACCGTACTTTTCTAGATACTCCTGGAACGGCATCACAGGTCTTCAGTTGTACAACCCACTAAACAACAAGTGGTACGGTGGCAAACGCAGCCGCAGTTTACATATCAAGCTGCCCTTCGCAGTCCAGCTGCAAATGGATGTACTCAAGGAGTTTTACAAGATAAAAACCATTCAGCATAGAGGTAAGAGAATATGTTCATGTATATATATATATATATACATGTATATATACATGTATATATATATATATATATGTAATATATCCACCTCAAAACTCTGGAAATTCACAGGGATTATAATTTGACGGTCTATCGGTCTATGTATTGGTTGGGTTCATTGTTATTGGGCTATCCATTAATGTAGCTATCCAACAAAATGGTGAACGTTGGATAGAAATATGACTGGGGTTGAACCGCTCCCATAAATAATGTAAATGCTGATGGAGTTGATACTTTAAGCTGGTTACTTAGCAGAATCATCAATCAAAAGCTAAATGATCAAAGACTTTCCATTTAAATGTAGTCTTGATTAACCAATTTCTGTTAAGCTATTACTCTTTTGTAGAATCATTGTATGTTCAATTTCCTACATTACAGACTATATGGCTGGCTCTCGTCTCGGAGTTGTCTGGCACGCTGTCACCAACATAATCCCTCACGATCCGAAGAGAGAATCATCACATCCCGTCAAAGAAGTGAGTTGCTGGTAGTTAGTTCTTCTTTGAGTTATTGAAAATGCTGTGTAAAAGGTTTTGTTGAATAACTTGAACAATAAATAGTGGGAGGAAGAAAAATACAATGTGGTAGAGTTGCAAATATAAATTTTTCCTAATCGGTTAGTCTTGAAAGTCGTTTACAGAAATTGTAGATAATCAATGTAAAATTTAAGATAGTGAGCTGTTAAGTGTATAATTTAATTTCAAAAGAATATATATTTCGGACATAAAGAAATTAGCAACTGTTTTTTTTGGCTATCACAGTGCAAATGAATACTAAGGCCCATTTGGCTTCTTATGCAGAATATTACAAGTCTCAGTCTATATAAAAAATACCGGATTCTGACGCATGTACTGTTCTCAACGAATATGTAAATAAAGATCATTGTCTATTGTCTATTGTCTATTGTCTATATCAACTATGATTGTTTTAATGTGAGAAAAAATTAAATAATAGTCCATTTTTATTCATCTGCAAGACAATATTAATTCTCTAAAATTATGATGAATTCGAGCTAAGCGTGCTCTAGGGCGGCAAGGCACAGTCGGACGAGACGGGACAACCGCACATCCGCAATTTAGGACAGCCTGTGAGCTAAAACTGTGAGTCCGACTTTGACGGAGACCGTGAGACCAGTGTGGAGAATGGCAGAAGTCCCGTGACCCTTGTCCAGTTGGTAGCTAGGAAATGCCCCAGAGTTCTGTCTATCGGACTTTTTAACAAACGGCAGAAGCTACTAGACGTCCGTTGCTGGCCGTGCCGCCGTAGTGGGTGCACTTATATTAATTCAATGTAATTTTCTTTTAAAATATCCATGCCTTGCGACCCTAGCAGAGCTTTATCCACAGAATCCTAATTTAAAAGGTTGTTGTACTTGCAAAGCATAGTCTCACAGTGTCGAGAAACCTATGGCTATCATTTAATGGTTGAAAGAAAATTGGAAGTTTATAAAATCACTAAATTCATTACATCAATACATTATAATATCAAGTTAAATACAACAATCTGTTGCTGTCAAGGAATGGACGATGGACTCGGAAGACCTTGGAGCCAGACTTGGAGCAAGTGTTTTCAACTGTCCCGGCAAGTCAACAATAAGAGATGCACTACATCTGCTGAAAAAAGCTTTCTTGACCAAAGAGAAAAACTACCAGTAAGTAAACCTTTTAACACTGTAGTAGAAAAGTGTTTTGTTTTTAAATGGTATAAAATTCAGCTGAATACCAGAGTCCAGCTAATAAACACAATAAAAAGGTCACAAAACATGGCACTGATATTTTGTCCCAACAGGACTTCTTCAGAGATAAAATTTAAGAGAAAGTAAATAGTAGGCCTAACGATGTTCTCTCTTTATTACTTAAATTCTGAATAGTACAGGAGTTGTTTTGTTGACTCATTGAATAGATAGTGCATTAATTCTATGTACATTGCAGGATGGTGCCGGGAGGAGTTGTTCTACTGGGTTTGTTCTCACTCAAGGAACACTTGGCTTTCCAGCCTCCAGGCAGCAGATGTGGTCTTATGTTGTCATTCACACCTTTGTTGTCTCAGGTCAGTCTTTTGTATGAATCCGTGATGCAACTCAAATATCTAGACATAAAATAAGCACTGTAAACTTATCATATATCGATTCAATTTAGTTAAAGTTATTCCTGTGCTTAACGAGAGATGAGGTGTTTTTTTTTAAAGAATAATCTCCTCTTCTAATGTAAAATAAAAACTTCACCATTTATTTAGACTTGCTACTCTCTCTGAAGAAACTGCTCAAAATTGATGGTCCAATACATGAATTAATTGAATCATCTAGTCAAGATGAGATAAATTCCATACCTAACCACCTCATCCCTCCTTTGTCAGGTGGAGCCAGTGCTGACTTTGGAGAAGAAGCAGTTACGTCTTCAGATGTCCCGGAAGGACGGAGTGTTGTGGGAGATACAGGCAGGCTTCAGACAGATCTCCAACGGCAAACGGGAGTTGACGTTCAAGTTGTACCACACTCCAAGCGTGCGCGACACCGTCAGCAACATCTGGAGAGTCATACAGCTGGAGGGAGCGTTTGTACTACCCTCGGGGAGAGCCAACGTGTTCAACCCTCCTGCGCCCGTGTCAGGTAGATGTTTAGTGGTTACTTGTACGATTGCGTGTGTTGCGTCAGCGTCTTGGACAGAAGGTGTAAGAGGTACAGTTTTGATTCCCAGTATTAATTTATTTATTCATTGCCATGGCCATTGGTACCCCATTTGGTACTTGGCCTCAGCAATACAGAGTCTCCATCTGTCTCTGACCTCAGGATCTTCTTCAATTCCCAAAAGTCTCATGTCTTTACTAGACCTGATCCCACAATCTAGGTCTTGGTCTTCCTCTGAGTCTTCTTCCTTCTACTGTTCCCTTCAGGATGTTTTTCGGGTTTGATTCTTCTTCTCTTCTATGTACGTGTCTATTCCAGTTCATATAAGTCTACTGCTTCTTATCTACCCTTGATCTTCTTAATGCTTGATTCTTGACTCTTCCCTAGTATGTCTGCAAGAATTCTTGTGGCTCAATCCTCTTTTCCTTAAAAGCGTCAAGTTTATTCCACAAATAATGCAACTGATGAAGGCACTAAAAAAGGGTGGTTTGAAATATATTACCAAGATGTTAAATTGTACGATTTGCAAATAGCCTTAGTCAGACGTTTATAGAAGGAGTTAAGACTTTCAAAAGATTATTTGATCAAGATTTGATTTAATCAATGTAATAAACAATCAACTCATGAACTGTCAATCGACTCAACAAAAACAACCGCTTCCATTATGACATAGGTTCCACTCCACGTATTTGAGTTTGTGTGGGAACAGATCAATATGTTTTACTAAAAAGAAATTTAGTAAAGAGATCAGTTCTATACAGATATTCCCACATTTTCCCTTGGGACAGGTACAAATAGAAACTTACAATAGTCTCAGTAAACCAAGTTTTATTATCACCGTTTTATAAATGTACGTACTAAATTTCTACTGAGTTTTAGCCGAAGATACTGAGTTTTTAAGGTGAATCATTACACAAGCACTATAATACCCTAGTTATTTATGTATAATGATCAATACTATCACTAAACATCCTTTACTCTTACCGGTTTTTTTACCAGGCTACACGTTTATCTCATGGGGCGACTCGTCTCCGACTCACGCAGACAAGGCCGCAGTGGTGGATGTGAAGGTAGTCGCAGCTCACAGTGAGAACCAGAATTTGACCTGTGATGACCTCTCACCTACCTGTCTACAGTCTGTGATGGAGCTAGCGACGCAGCAGGTCGCCACCACACAGTATGTCAACGTGAGTCTCTATTGTGGTTGTTACGAATTGTGACTTCATTGGTGTGCTGGGATTGTTCCAAGGCCAGATTTAGGAAAACGGGCGAAAAAACTCGTACATCACTCGTCCAAAATGTGTTTACCATACACGTACGGGAAACATCTATTTTCGGACTAATACTATTACACATCTAAAAAGATTAACTATCAAATACAAATAATTTATTAGTTAATATTGAGAACTTAAGAAAAAATTCACTTTTCATAAGTAACTGGACAAAATCGCATGTACTTTACTTATTGTCTTTTCCATTATTTAATTTATTCTTGCTAAACAAACATTCCTCTTTAAATTTCATAATATATTAGTTGTTGTATAATTTTGCTGATACAAAAGGTATGTTTAATTTTTATTACCATCGCTACATTTTGCTCTTATAGTGAAGATCAGACAAATAAATTGATGTAAATGTGTTTAATCGTGTATTTCACAAGTACTTTCCGTCCACAGCTGCCAGGATGGTTGATAACTGCCGCCCACGCTCTGTTTCCTGAACATGTGCAAATGGAGAGTTCCTCGACCAAGATTGACTTTAGTTTCCCAGCGGCTTTGCCATCATGGAGTACAAAAGGTGAGAAACACAATTTATGAGAACCAAAATCTGGACATTCAAGTTTTTAGTTTAACTTAACATGTTATAATATTAAATAATAAATCATCTCTTCAGATAAACATAATTTGTTCTCAATTGTAAAATATGTGTACCATTATCTTAATACGATATTTGCAACCTATGGAATATACTATACTAATCCTCATTGTGAATAGAAAATTAATGTAGAATAGAATGCTTCTTCTTGAACAAATTTGTTGCTTTAGAAGGAAACACTCTAAGGCCAGGATTTTGATTTTTGGAAAGGAAGGATGGACTGCACCTGGCTCCAGTCCAGATAGGACATAGGACATAGGAGATAGGACTCATTTACAATATTTTGTCCCCTACGATTCTTTTTTGTCTATAATTGACAAAGTCAATAGGGTTCAAGCACTTACAACCCATGTAATATGTTGTGGGTAAGTTTTCTTAACCTTGTTGTAGGTCTTTGTGCCGTCAACAGCCAATCAGTTCTCACTCTGGACAATACAACGAGCTACGACTTGTCTCTGACTGGCTGCTTCACTGTCATGGTGGCCGATTGTTCGCAAGACACTACGTTTGCTGTTCTCGTCAAGAAAGTGGTGAATCAACATCTGGTGAGGATGTGTCAATTAGATTAGTATATTAAAAAAAAAATATTTTTGTCAGCTTTGAAATTGATGATGTAAAATATTTAAAAAAATGTAGTTTGCTTGAATAACTTCATATTATTTCTTTAATATTATTGGCGTTGCTAATGAATAGTGTTTTGAACTTTCATGTAAAACTGTTGATTCTCGGTATATTTTTTGGGTTTGCTGCAAGGTAATAAGTAAAAATATACATTTTACTAACGAAGTCTAAACATTTTTAATTTTAATACATTATTAGAAATACAGCATTACAGTACGTTTAAGATAGGTTCCAAAGTCGATAAATGGATAGAAATTAATATCCTTTATTTCAACAGGGGAGGTTAGTGTTACTTGACCCTTTTTTGTAGTTAACCTGCTTACACTATACCGTATTTACAAAAATTTCCTCTTTCAAACCAAATATTAACTAACAAACCGACTCAAACACTCACTTAGCAATTACATAAGCACAAAACAGTCCAAAGACTTACCAACCGAGGCCATGCGCTTAACCAAAGACAATTTTTGAAGTGCCGCCACAAAGGGAGGATACTTATATAGTACATTTTCATGGAGCGAAAGTAAATTGTTCTAAAGATGAGCGGGACAATCACTAACTATCTTAGTTATTATTAAAAAGGTGCAACAATCAACTGCACAAATTATAGTGGAAATATAAGTGAATATATTAGACAATTCTCGCCATTTGTTTCAGGCTGTGAAAATATATGTTGGGAGTGATGTCATCGAACTTCTGCCCACTACTGAAGAAACAATAGATGTGTTTGTCAATGAGAACATCAAACTGAACCCTATAACTGAGGACTATGAGCATGGAGCCTCTAACACCACCAAACCTTTCTTTAGGTGATTTACAACTATCAATACACCTTTTACATTTCACTAATCTCAGTACCACTCAAGATATATCAATAATCACTCAACGTCAGTTCCTCTTAGGCACTAGATGTGCGATTAAAAAAAATATGTTGAAATGAATACATTATTTGATAATGAATGCTAAAAGATTTAGGTGCTTATGATTTTAATCACTTTAAAACTCTTTCGGTAGACCATGAACTGCTCAGAAGTGTGAGCACTTGGAAAGATCTACGTTGTTAGCAGTTAATTTGATATTGAGCACTAGGTAAAGTGGAATTTCGACTTGTTCCCTAGGAGACTCACATTCATTTCATATCATGTTTGTAGTGTCACTAGTGTCAGTTGGTGGTGAATGTGTAATATTACTTGGAAATACAAGTAATTTAATTTATATTAAGGCTCAGTTTTAAATTAAAATTACACTTTCAAACCTTGCATTAGACATGTTTGAAGTAGATTTTACTTGTTATACCTCAGTGATTTCACTAATAATTTCCACAATTCTGTCGTCAGCATCTCGGTGAAGCAAGGAGGCCAGGTGGATGTGGAGTTACACAACGGGGTTGTCGTCCAACATTACACAAAGACCATCGTGGCGCTGGTACCAGGACTGTTCCGAGGATACACTTGTGGTCTGTGCGGAAACTTCAACAGTGATATCAACAATGAACCAATCATGTATTACACTCAGTGTTAGACTGCAGACGACGCAAATGGATCATCTTTGACAGTGATACCAATCAAGAGGTGACAGAAAGAGTCGGGGCCAAAGACGTTCCCCTAGGACAGAGTAGAATTAGTAAAGGCTGGTTTCCATAGCTGCCGAATACTGCTATGTTGTGAATGTCGTGCTAATTTTCTAGTGCCTGCGTTTTTTTGGCAAGGTCATTTTCCTATAAGTGCAATATTTAATTGCAAAGTGGGTTCACGCGACAGTTTTTAGTAGTCGAATGTCTATAGTTTGTCCCATGCGTTATAAATGGATAAAATATAATACATCCACTACTTAAAGTATAATATAATGTCTCATAATCACTATGTACACAAATTATATTGCTCCCGACTATATACACCATATTCTACATAACCCAGTGTCTTTTCAACATTTGAATATACATTAAGAGAATCAGACTTCTACGATGAGGCAGCGATTGCTGCTTTTTTCCAATGTTTTTCCTCCACATTCTCCAAGAACTTGGCAGCTTTATCGGAGAGAGGTGGTTTGAAATATGGATGTGCAGTAAATGGTAATTTATCTTAACCCTTTGGGTGCTAGAAATTGATTTTGGTACTTTCCGAAAAGTGCCAGAATTTTTTTACTAGTTATGTCTGAAGAGTGCCAGGCTTTCCGTGGGGGCAAAGCGTAGTGCGCAAGAATAAAAATCGGTAAAAGTATAAAATTCCATCCCAAAAGTGCCATGGAACGATATATCGTGCCTCGATCGTATGAAAAATCGATTGAAATCATCGTTGTTTTATAATAACAACCGAGTCAACCGATATACCCATTAAAACTCACATGATCGGAAGTCGCGCCGGCCCGATATATCGTTGCAATGTATTCTTCGGTAAGACTACCGACGATGATATATCGTTGTGAAGTATTTTTCAGATGTGTTGTGCAAAACGATATATCGTTGCGTTGGCACTCAAAGGGTTAAGTCATATCCCACAACTAATTTCATTAATTTTTTATCCTTGGATAAAGAAAATTAAGTTTGCTTTAATATGCTGAATTACAATAAGCCTATTTCAAAACGGTCTCAATTTAAAGTGTAATTTACTGAATATATTAAAGAACTTAAAGTAACTGAAATTATTAAACGGATGGAATTAGTAGTTAACTGAATTGGTTAATTCTTCAAAAAAGAACTGCTCTTAGAGCAGTCACCTGTCTTGCAGCCCGCTGCGGGATACAGTTCCTACCAAATTTGGCTGCAAAGAAAACCAGCCTTACCACCCAAAGTTGTAGTCGTAGGTGCGTCTGATTAACACTTACCAATACAAGTAAAGTGGCAGCAGGCAGTGACAACTTTTGCGAAAACCTGAAGTACAGTGACAGGGGGTGGGCCCGTGGATCCTGCATAAAGTTGCTAACGTTGGAAGTCATCATTACCCATTTTGGAAAATAAATTATACACTTTTAAAAAGTATATTTCATCACTAGGGCCTATGCATTAGTGTAATACGCTAATGGGGCAAAACCTCTTAAATTATGAAGAATATATACACTGTCAAAGATGATCGTTAAGTTGTTATTTGGATTGAAAACTCAAAATGTGATAGTCAATATATCTTAAGTCTACACATGAATTCCCAGATTGGGACACAGTTAGTCATTTCATGTCAAAAATGTTAAACAGTCTTCGAATTTTTGAACTTAAATAATATAACAATACTTCCACCCATTTACAATTGTAAACGCTTCTTTTTGAAACATAAAATACACATTATTAATTTTTTCCCATTGATAAAGGACTTGATCATATAAAATCAATTGAGTTGAGACTATTGAGAGGATACATAAAAAAATTCGAACCTAACAATTCTTGCTTTTCACTTTTCACAAAGCATAATTCATTTTATGTGTCATAAAATTAGACTAGGCCTATTTTAACACTTCTAGTGAGATGCCAACTTAATAACTAGAAAAACTAGTAAATATTGTGTGTAATTTTAAAGTATAATAAACCAACCTATTCAAGGATTATTCCTTTGTACATGTATATAAAATAAATAAACAACAAAGGATATCTGTTCTTATTTAATAAAGTATTATGTCAGAATGAGTGTTAATTAATTTATTTCTAAGGCCATACTAAAAATGCCCTGTTTGTCTGTACCTTTTCAATTTCTCTAGGTTTACTCTTGCAAAATTTTATGTTGACACAGGAATTGAACCGATTTTCAAAATCAATAGTTATTTGTGCAACTAGTGAGCAATTGCCTCACTCGAGAGAAATCCTTACTCACAGGTAGGCGTGTGACTAAACGTTTTGGTAGGCGAGTGAGGAATGGTTTCTCGAGTGAGGCGATTGCACTTTGCACTCGAGTTGCACATTATATTTTTCCTACAGTTACCATAAAACAAATAAATTGGTAAAGAAACGTGCCTTCACGGTGCAAATCTGGAGTGAGACAAAGTAATTAGAATGAGACAACGTTCTCACTGATGAGCGAATTGGCCACTTTCGTGCCTTCACGTTGCAAATCTGGACACTAATGAGCGAATTGGACACTTTGCTTTCTCAAATCAGTGAGAGAACATGTACACTGTTAGGTAAGTGTAGGAAAAAATATTTTTTTCTAGAAAATAAGTAAACTACTAGCGTTGAAAAATGTAGTTGTTTGAGGATTTTCAAGGCCTTTTGTAAAAAGTTACTTTTTTATACAAACAAGAAAACAAAAATGTTAAGAGGAAAAATTATTTGAGTCTAATTTCTTTAAAATTGATGATAATTATTTCACATTTTTTATTTATCAAAATTGTTTGACTCAATTGTTAATTTTGAAGATGAAGAATACATAGTTTCTCTCTCTATTAAATAGAAAAATAATAGATAAGAAATAAAATGAAATAGAAGAAATCTTGTCTCCATTGAAGCAAATTTGTTATCATAAATGGCAAAAGAGTCCAAAGTCGGAACTGCCGCCATAGAATCTGGACGGGTGGCAATCCTGGTTTTGTCTTTCATAAATCTAAGAGTCATCAGAACTTGACAAACCAAAAATAAAAATATGCAAGTTAGTTTTGAGTGTTGAAACAACATAATAACAGAACTGGTAGAAATGAAAATACAGGTGAAGTAAAAGTAAATATATTACGAATGAAACAACTACAAATATCACATGAATTTACATCACAAGACTTTAAGTTACATTGTATTTACAAATCCTATCAACCTAAACTATTTAAAATGGAAACATTTGTTCAAATCCACTATTTGCGGATAAAATATAATACATCCACTACTTAAAGTATAATATAATGTCTCATAATCACTATGTACACAAATTATATTGCTCCCGACTATATACACCATATTCTACATAACCCAGTGTCTTTTCAACATTTGAATATACATTAAGAGAATCAGACTTCTACGATGAGGCAGCGATTGCTGCTTTTTTCCAATGTTTTTCCTCCACATTCTCCAAGAACTTGGCAGCTTTATCGGAGAGAGGTGGTTTTGGAAGGGATGATCGGACTTTGAGTAGAGTGGGATAAGCTCGCTGGAAGTGGAAAACGGCTGCTAATAAATGCCAAGCTGTGAAGTTGGGCCACAAAACGTCTGTGAAGTAGAGGTAGCTGTAGGCCGTCTGTAATAAACAGGAAAAATTTAAACTTAAGAGTTATTTAATTGTAATATGCTTGGGAGAAAGTATGTGTCAGTTTGCTGATATTGTTTATTTCCAATACCATCCATACACAATATTACAGTAAAAGTTGATCGAAATAGTGCACTTATGTGAGTTGCAAATCTGATCAGCCATTTTGAAAACCCTTATTGTGTTTGTGTCCACAGAAAACCTGTATTGTAATATTACAGAATTTCAAAATAGAGATTCTTAAATGTTTATTGTATGTGAAATCAAATTTTGAAAAACTCCACAGTGAAAATAATCGGCACAATTATAACACTAGATTTCATACAGATTTTCAATATCCTATTCACAGATTAAATCTTGTGGAAAGGACACCTTCTTATATGGGTAAAAGATTTTTTAACAATTTGCTTGGGTACTACAAATCTATAATAGGATTAGTATCTTTTAAAGAAAAAAATTATTTAAAAGATTTAAAGAAAAATATTTTTATTGGAAAAGAATTATTATAGTATTGGTCAGTTTCTCGAAGACAAATCAATGTGAATTGTTTGTTTTGTTACCTACTATGTATTTATTTTTACCAATATAAGCTAGTTTATTTTAGTGTAGTTTGACAATGCCACCTGTTTTGTCTGGCTGTGCCAGAGCATTAAAAAAAACGTTTTGTGACAATAAAGATGACTTTGACTTTGATTGTGTCATTCAAGACAAGAGAAAACATGATTTAAAAGGGCAAAAGAGTACACTGGGGCTCTAAGGGCTAAACTAATCTAAGAACTCAAATATTCTGAACGTTGTACCTGAAGAAGAAGGAAGTCACTGAGTCGCTTCTCCCCGGACGTTCTGATACACAAGTCAGGGTACGGAGAGTCCATGGTGTAAAGAGATTTGGACAACAACTGCACATTGATATCACTCAGGTCCAGGTCTGAGGAGCGATGACCTTCCACCATCTGCTTCATAGCTTCCGCCATCTCGTCCCTGGCTGTAAAGCACATAGGCAAAGATTGTTGATCAAACTATCAAGATATTAAATGTTAGCAGACTTATCTAGATGAAAGAGTCCACCCGACATAAGAAACCAATTACTTTACACTATACACAACAATTCAAATATTTCAATGTCACTTACAGCATTTTCAACCAAGTAAGGTTTGAGTTGGAGAGAGAGTGACATCTCTCAATAAAACTCTATCTCTCCCATTCAGACGGTTCTTGATTTAAAATGGTATCAATAGTGAAGTATTCTATTTTTGGTGTATAGTGTAAAGTTTTGTGTTTCTTGTGCCAGAGTAGACTCTTTTCCCATTCAAATAAATTCATGATATCCTAAAAAAATCTTTAAAAACATTAATCTCTTATGTGCTTAACCTCAAATTAAATTTATAGTAAAGTCTCAAATATTTAAACTACCTAAACTAGCTGTTGAAAAGCTAACAGTTTGGAAAAACATAGAAAGTAACAAAAACATGTCAACCATCACCAAGTTTCTCTGATATCAAACTAATTCAAAACTTTAAGTCTGTATTGTTGAAACTGACGTAACAAATAATATAAGGGACAACACCAGTGTTGAAATTTAGGCCTGGTAGACACGGGCATTAGTCGTGTGCTCCCACAACAGGATTAGCTTCCAGTCTTGTGCAGTCAGTTTTGGGCGATGTTTGCATTGTTTATATACATACTAATTATTACCAATCATTGAGATGACACCACCTAGGTGCGTATTTTAACCCAAATATGAGTGAAGGATGAGTGTAGAATGGGGTGTGATGTTCTGTGTAGCTTTGTTACTAAGGCCTGGTCCTACGTGAGCGACAGGAGCGACGCTTTGGCAGCGTCTGTTGAGAGCGTATTTTGAAATTTCAAATCATTTTGTATCTCGCCGCTGTTGTCACTTGCATGTGTAGCTGCTATCCCTGCTGTTGCTATTGTCGCCAGCGTCGCTCACATAGGACACGCCCGTACCATGCGGTGTGAATGTTGACAGTGACAGCATCTAGAATAAATTGTCGTCCGTGTCACTCGTGTCAGACACAAAAATCTGCAACATTCTAGGGATTCTAGCGTTTTTGCTTGCGTCGCTCCTGTTGCTCACGCAGGACCGGGCCTAAGATCAGCTGTTTATTTAGCCATGATCATTTATTTAAAGCCCGATGATCAGGAACAGCTGGGATCAGTTTTTAACTATCAAAAAGCTACTGACTTTTCTAAGGATCAATCCGGCGACCTTTTAATTGTTAGACGAGCACTGAAACCACTCGGCTACCAGGTCTCATACACACAGGCGTAACACTACTGAAAACCATGTGCAATCAGAAGCATAGGCCATAATTATTTATGTCATTCAAGTTTTTTTATTGGTTACAGAATGTAAATATATTTTCAGTTAAAGCTAAGTAAGTTCATCAGCTGGCACATTGGTGATGAGGAATTAAGAATTATTTACCTGTATAAGCAAAA